TATTTAGGGAATCAGAAGTTTTACATTTTCGTAAAGTGTCTTTCAAACCAGGCAACTTTAAGATGTGTGGATTTTAACTCCCAGAATTCCCTAGCCAGCATATTTGGTCATCTTTATGAGGACACGAAAATCAATGCCCTGTGCATTGTGAAGTTATCATCCAATGATGTATTGTACATAATTGTGTCATATAGTGTATGAAATTATGATGCATTCAATATTTTGTCCATCCCCACCTCCCCTTGATTCATCTGTATTGAAGATGGTGACTCCACATGACTGGCAGTAATTATTTGGAGTCTAGATTGTATCTCTTTGGGGTGCGTAAGTTTTTATTCTCCCACCAAAATAGGAGCAGGAGGTGGAATTCAGTGGGCTAAATGTCCACTTCCATCTCTGCAGTTTTATGATGATGTAATTCTATGTGGCGGAAGAATATTGCTTGAGAGTGGAGGTCACGAAACGTGGGACCTTGAATGGACAGAGTAAGTCAGTTCAGATGGAAAATAAAATGATAAAATAAATAGACTTGAAAATCTTACACCATACAAGGATCCTTTTTAATGGTCAGGTTTCTCCATTTTAATCTGCTCCAGGACAGACACTTTTTTCTGTTCCCCACCCTTACCATTTTCGGGGTTCCATTTATTCTACACGTAAAAAATTGATCATTGCGAAAGGTGTGCAGATACCCCATCCTATGTGCAAATGAGGTACCATCAGGTACCATGAGGCCAAGAACGTTGAGACTGCTTTACTTTTGTCAGTTTTATATCCCTCCAATATTTTCCCACAAGTGGTCGCTTTCAGACTGACCCAAACTCAGCCATGAGCTTCCATGTCCACTGGGGACTTGAACCTGTGCCTCTCCATTTCCAGTCCAACACTTCAACCAGTCTACCACACACGTTTAGCATACAGAACTTCAAAGAAATGCAGTCCAAGGACAAGGCTTATGAAACAGACTTTATTGAAAACACATCATGATACAAAGTCATTGCCTTGGGATAAACCTAATGTCCCAAGTGGTATGGAATGACCCACGACCCAATCTTCATCAGTGATTACCTAGAGATGGGGGAGAAGCAAATTCAGTCTCCATCTGAGTATATACTTAGATAATCTTATATTTTTCAACCAATAGTTAAAAAAAAAAAATAACCAGTTCATCCTTCATTACACATATGAAAAACAAGTAAGATTCAACAGTTCTTTTATAAAACATTACATCTTTCATATGAACATAATAGATAAGTATACATACTTTTAGAGAACTTTTTTTTTTTTTACAGAAATGAAATGTTAGGCAAATGTACACAGGCTACATCAGGGGAAAGCATTCATTCATTATTTCAAAAACTGTTCTCCAATCCAGAAAACAGGATTTCAAACATACACCAAAGAAGGGAAAAAGAGAAATGAAAATTAGAAAAAGGATCCCCATCACTCTAAGCAGGTTATTTTTTCAGCCAAGAAGGATTTGCTCATGCAGAAGGAAGAATTCTGCAATGCCTGAATCAAACTTGTTTGGAGGACACCAGATTGGGGGAGTTAATTTGAGTAGAAATATGAGAAGAGGAACAAGGTACCATCAGACCTGAGTATTTATGAACCTTTGATTAGAAGGAAGGATGCAGGGAGAAGGTTTGTAAATGAGATATACGGCCATGCCCCTCCAATTTCAATGAACTGCTCTAAACATCATGGTTGAACTTACCATACGAGCTCGAATAGTCCACCCAGTTTGACCCAAGAAAGGTCCATTTCTTTCCATAACTCTCCAATTTAACAGAAAATAAAGCTGCTATGCAACTGTGAATGATGGAGACCACTCAATAACTCATAAAGATCCTTTTGATGCCAGGTCATGATCTTGGGTTGCTGAGGTCCAGATCAATATCTAAAGGGTATTACTAATGATTGGCAGCATCAATGTACATCTCTTGCAAATTTGCAATAAGACAGAAGTCCTAATCTTTTATATTATGTTTTCTTCTCTGAGTCCAGTGAACATCTTTCAATATAATTTAATCTGAAAAAAATACGATATAAAAATAATAGGCTGTCATTTGTTCATCAAAATGGACATGAACACACACTTCTCCAAATCAAATAATCCAGCTAAAAAAATGAATTTTCAGAGAAATAAGAAAGGGATATCCCTTTCATCAAGAATGAATTGCATGGAAAAACTGTCATTCCAGTAGATGCCTAGTGGCCAGGCACTACATGGCTAGTTTTATGCCTTACAGGACTAGGCCAGAGGTGACTCTCAACAATCCTTTTATCATAGGATCATCACACAATTGCACTTGAAGACAAGAGAAACTTCCACTTGTAACCTACCATGCTAACCAATGTTTCACCCATATTTGTTATGGTAGGCTTGTTAAAGAAGACCTGCAAATAGCTTTGGAGGTGGATTCTGAAGCTCCGAGCCTTGATGCTCTCAATAGGACAAAAGAGTCATTTTCCATCACTTCTCAACAAAGGCCCAAGCTATGAGATTTGGGAGACCTGGAGTCTTTCTTTCTAAAAGTTTCCACCCTGCACCCTTGACTTCATTGTTCCTAATGGTGTAAAGGAAAGGATTTAGCACAGATGAGACCATTGGGCACAATATGGGGACAGACTTCATCATACTGAAGGAAGAGTTCTTGACAGTAGGTCTTAGATAGACAAATAGGACTGGTCCATAAGAAATGCACATTGCAAACGGTACAAATTGCGAAGAGGTAAGGAATGAGGGTGAAAAGCAGTGAGCTCATAATCCCAACCACCGTAACTAGAAAACCAGGTACTTCAATGACTCCTATATCTCGTCCTGAACTCTGGAATGCAGGTCCGACATCACAGGAGAAGTGGGTAATTAAATTCTAAACTGGGGTACATAAGTCAACATTACATTAACATCTTCAACATTTAAAAATTTCCCCCTTAATCTATGCATATACATTGATACACTATCTGCAAAAGATACTTAAATGATCAACTGACCATATCACGTCCATCAGTAAGTCGTCCAAATTCTTACAAATCCAGCATGAAAATTCTAATATCCATCTTTTTGAATCCATTGTCTGGGGAGCCCAATCTACCCTATATATATGTTTTTATAACTCTCTCAATTTTTTAGAACTGAGGCATAAAGTGACATATAATAAATATCAATCCATTGTACAAAACAGAAATTATTTCATTTTGTTAAACACAGTATTGTTGTCATTGTATGACAAAGAGCAAAATATCCCAGCTTTTCCAAAGTCAGCAGGTGCCCAAGTGCTCAACTGGGAAATGCCCTACATCATTTCCTTCTTCAGCTTGATATACAAGAGAAATTGTAAATCAGTCTCCATTTAATGGTCAGCTTAGATAATTTTGCAAATCTGAGCAAAACCACCAAAAATATGTAGCTATTCAGACTATATGTAGCTATTCAGACTATATGTAGCTATTCAGACTATATTCCTCTTTCCATGTCACACAGAATTAAAGCGAGGAGGATTTAGGAAATATATTGGTAAATATATATATAGCCAGAAATATCACATATAAGCTGTTATTGCATTATAAACCTTTCCTGAGATTCAATCTTGCTTGAACAATGGGTGCTAGCATCATACTTTCAAACACTGGGCTATCAGCATTGACCCCCTTCTTCTTCCATCCTTATGAATTAGGCAAGCTAAAATAATGGTACAATATCTCTGATGGATAGATCTCCCAAACTTCATCGTGGAGCATAGGATTGCTTCTCCATACAGGCCTCTGTTTAGATTTTGGGGAAACCTGGAGTCTTTCTTCTTAATGCTTTCCACACTGCTTCTTTCACTTCATGGTTCCTAATCGTGTAAATGAAAGGATTGAGCACTGGAACAACTATAGCACTCACCAAAGAAACAGACTTCATCTTACTGAAGGAAGAGCTCTTGAAAGTAGGTCTTAGATAGACAAAAAAGACTGAGCTGTACAAAATGGTGACTACAATCAGATGAGAAGCACACGTAGAAAAGGCCCTCTGCTGCCTGGTGGTTGAAGGCATTCGGAGAATGGTGGAAATGATGAAGAGATAAGAGATGAGGGTGAAAAGCATGGAGGACATAACCACAAGGACCGTAATTAGGAAGCCAAGGGCTTCCACGACATATATATCTCCTCCTGCAGTCTTCAACAAAGGTCCCACATCACAATAGAAATGATTGATAACATTGGAGGTGCAGAAGGGTAGGTGAGCAACAATTATTATCTGATAAAGAATGGAGAAAAAGCCTCCAAACCAGGATGCTATTGCTAGTTTAAGGCAGACCCCAGATGTCATGATAGTGGCATATCTCAAAGGGTGGCAAATGGCTATGTATCTGTCCAAGGATATCAAAGTGATGATAAAAAATTCTGTAACACCAAAAAGGAAATAAAAAAAAGACTGTGATAAACAGCAGGATAAACAAATGGAATTCTTTACAGACAGATAATTGACCAGCAATTTAGGAACAAAGACGGTGGTGTGTCCAATGTCAATGAGTGAAAGGTTGCTAAGGAAGAAATACATGGGCTTCTGGAGACGGTGGTCCACAATTACCATTACAATGATGAGTCCATTGCCCATGAGACACAGGAGGTAGAGCACAAAGATACCGGCATGCATCACACCTTCCATTCCCCTAACTCTTGGCAATCCCACAAGGATAAATGCAGTGACTCTTGTGCAGTTGGTCCAATTCATGTTCTTTTTCTGTCTGAAAGAGAGAAGAGACAGAATCTTCATTGAATCAAGATTTAGCTACATTTCTAAACACAGATTTCATATAGCAATATGGGGATTGCCTCACAGAGGACGTAAGACTGGATTTTCGCATCAAGTTAATGAAAGCTGTTCATAACTATGGTTGTTTAATGAAACCTTTAAAGATAGATATTTGAATATAATTTATTATTTATAAAGGTCCATTACTAGAATCACACAAAACATGAGGCTAAAACCAAAGAAACATTAGTATAGCTTAGTGTGATTTGTGAAATTGGCCACTTCGGTAAATTTAGAGGTCATTTGTGGATTCTTAAATATATAATGACATTTTTGGAAGTGGTATTCTGGAGGTGTATATTTTGATACAAAACAGAACTTGGGAACTTAGGACTTCTGAGATGACCGAGTCCCATACCACTGGGCAGAAACACTCTTGACATCATTATTTATCCAAAGAAGGGAGCAATAAAATGCTGAAAAAAAATATGACGTGTGAGAGAAAAATGATGATTAAAAAAAGGAAGAATATTTGTGGATGACATGGATGGTCTGAAAATAGGTGGTT